CAAAAAATAGTACAACAGGGCTTAAAAAATATGTGCTGATTTGCGTTAGTGCTAAAAGCATCACCAATAATTTTGATTAATGTGTCTTGACACTGAATGCATTAGCCATACAATATTCTTCTTGCTTAAAGGCTAATTAGAATTCAAGTCAGTATGATACCTGCTTCTGAGGATTACAGCAAGAACATTTGTTGTAATAGGAACCTCCAGACAGCCAGTTTTGGTAATGATTGATTTGTAAAATTATTCAGGGGAAAAAAAGAATGAGAAAGTGGAGTCTGCCCCAAAAACGTCTATTTCCCTTAAGGATCAAATTTTTGTATAAATTAAAACATCTTGGTGGCTATGTTAAAAATGAACTACAACAGCAGGTATATTTAAAACCCAGGAAACACACTTTTTAAATTTTTTCCTTAACAGGATTACATCATGAAAGCACATTCGGCGTATTTATTGGAGGTTTCATTGTGGCTGGTAAAAATCTCTGATTTCTGATGGCAGGAATTTCCTAACTGGACTCTTAAATTACTCAACTGCTCAGAAAAACTTTATACAAGCAAGAAATAATTATAAGTAACAATAACACATTGTTATCCTTTTAACCAGTATTTCTCTTTCTTTTGGGAACTCATTACACATTCTATGTTACTTCCAAAAATTTTCCTCTGCTATTTTTAATATGTGATTTGATGTTTCTGAGGAAGAAACCACATCTCACGGATTTAGAAGATCAGTTTTTATTAGATTACTGAGCAGTATACTTAATCTTAAGAATGACAGAGTAAATGTGTCTGCCATCTGTAAAAGTTAGTCTTTATATGATTTAATGTCAGAGATGATTTCATATAATGAGACATAAAGGTTAGTTACTGTTTCATACCTTCCCAATCCTCAAGTTCTTGATCCGAATCTCAAATTTTCAGCGACAAGAGGCCAGATCAAAAACATCAAGCTTTTAGGGAAGATATACTCTAAAAATTGCTTTGCCACTTAAATGATTTGTCCTTTTTGACTTGATGTCATTTTTACTATATTATGCCTCCCTTGGCCCACAACTTTTTGTAATTTACTTTTTAAATATGGTGAGATAAACCGGTAGTGTATGTTGAAAGGAGAAAAGCAAGCATTGAAATTCCATATTCGTAAAAGTGTCTTAGGTTAGGCAACACTGTGAGTGAGGCTGAGGAGAATTCCCATCATGACATGTCATGATTTTCCTGTCAACAGTGCCAGGAAGGAGGACTTTGACAGTGCCACATCTTATGCCTACTGTGTTCCTTCATCCTTTGTTCCTGGAATACATTTCGGTAATAGGACAAGGGGAACAGTGTGATGTCATGTTTCAAGAAAAAGTGGCTTATCTTAGTGCTCTTAGAAGTAACATTCAACTATCCCTGAAAAGAAGTTTTTAAAATTTACATGCATTAACCCTGTAAAGTATAAACTGCTTTATGATCTAGAGGTTAAAATTACTAACATTAGGAAAGACTATATAGAACAGGTGTGTACCCAATGTTTCCAATGTATTCAGCTGCCCCAAGAGAAAGAAAGAATAGCTAAAATTTATAAAGCACTTACTGTATGCTTGGCAATATTTTTAGAGAATGCACATACATTAATTCATTTAATCCTTGCAAACCCTCTGAATTATGGCCAATGGTTATTGTCATTTCATGATGAAACTAACGGACAGAGAGATTATATAACTTGCCCAAGGTCATACCACTGGTAAAAGGTAGAGCCAAGTGGTCTGGCTCTAAAGTCAGGTCTTTTGATCACTGTCCCATATTGCTTAATTACTAGGGTAATGTAACCATAGACAGCTCTGGTGGCAAAATGGTTAGGCACTGGGCTGCTAACTTAAAGGTCTGCGGTTCGAACCCACCAGCCACTCTGTGGGAGAAAAGTCCTGGTGATCTGCTCCCGTAAAGGTTTCAGCCCAGGGAACCATGGAGCAGTTCTCCTCTGTCCTATAGGGTTGCAGTGAGTCAGAATCAACTCGATGGCACATGACAACAAGGTAACCATAAAGGGTAAGTACTGTATTTACATTTTTCAAAATAAGAGTGGAGAGAAAACTTTTTAAAATGGGAACTTAGAATCATGTCCTTTTATGTAATAACAGGAAATCTAGTTACAGTAAGTTCTACCTATTAAAAATATATTTGAAGGCTTGTTTATAAAAATAATTTTCTGAGCTCAAAACTTATTTCAGAAGATCAATGCCTCCATGGTACATTGTACACATTTAATTTTCCCAGTTGAACATCTTGACACTATATGAACCATGAATGCATGAAATAAGAATTCCAAATGCCTTCCACGTGGTGAGAGGGCTTTAGAATACACATGCAGGAAGCTTAAAAGTAGTTTGAAATTAAGATATTCCTGTTCTTAGTGACTTTTACTATGTATGCCTAAGGTATTAGTACTTTTCTCTGATGGTGCCCTGAGATGACAGATAGATGAGCCTGCTCTCTGTATTTAGTCACTTTACTCATTTCCTGAAAGCTTTGTGGAAGGCATTTGGATGCTCATTAAGTTTCCAACCATTCCCCGAGAGCAACAGGTGGAGAATCAAAGCTTCCCCGGTATGTCATGGTTGGTTTCCTCAACGTCTTGGATATAAAGGATGGCATTTGCGTGCTCTCTGCAGTACTAGCACATAAGAAGGGAATGAACAGCAACAGGAAGTATTTCCAAAGCATAAACAAACACACAAGTCTAGAAGGATTATGACTAATGTTCCTGCTACCATACATTCTAAATCCATACATGAAGGTTTCATCTTTTAAATGATCTTACTCATCCAAACCATGGTTGGCTACCTAACAGAGGCAAGGTAAATTAAAGGAATAAAAAAAATCTCCAGTTAATGAAGCCATATCATAATCATAAAATTATAAACTTTTGACTCTACATTTACAATTATCCAGTGACTACTAATGACCTTGATGAATCCTTAAATTGTCACATTTTTCAAAATTATTTATTGATACTGAGCACCAACTGCATCACTCGGAAACCACAGCTCTCACACTCTGAACTAGAGAGAGAAGATAAAGCTTATTAAGTCAAAAATAGAATCTATGATCTAAAGCAAATGCTGAATAGTTTCCCAACAGTACTTGCTAATTACGTCGAAAAGTATCTCTAGTGAATGATGAAAGGGTTTTTTGCCAACTGATAGTTCCTTCTCACTATGGTCACTAGTCACGGTTAGAAAAACAAAATATCAGAGCTACATGACCTTGACAAAGTGGTTCTGGCAATTTCCTATGACCCTTGGAGGAAAAGCATTTACTTGAGGTGGCAAGTCACCGATACCCCTCCCATCTGAAAAAGTTTAGAACATTCAGACTAGTCCACAGATGACTAGGGAAAGGCCAAGGGCCCAGTTTTTACATGAAAGAACAGAAAATAAAGAAAAGATAATGATAACAAAGAGCAGTGGTTGAAATTATATATTGTGTTTTGCAGGGAAAAAACCAATTTCTTCATGTTCATGTACTCGCTTCTTAACCAAGAAAGTGCCTCATGCTCGGGAGAAGGGGCAACTGGATTTGACAGTCCTGAGGTTCCTGTCAGACCACAGGACGGCACACAGCTCCGCAAGGTACACTGCCTCAGCCCTTCCAAATGACCCTCCTTTTAAACGCCTACCCCCTTAGTTACAGAACTACCACGTTCTTCTTAATTAATCTTGAATATTTTTTTCTTAATTTTATTTAAAATCAGTGACCTTACAACTATTTGTAAAAAGCTATTTATTTATTTATGTGTGGAACTGCCATAAAGGAACTCTATAAAATGAAGATGTGTATGAATTTATGAAGTTATTTTTGCTAAATATAAGTGGTAAGGTAATGAGTTTGATTACTTAGTAAACAGTTGTCATAGAGTGAATTTTTCAATGAAGAAGCCAAAGATCAAAAATACATTAAAAGGACATATCTGACCTTCTATGATACTAATCTGGAAACATCAAACAAAAAGCCAGAAACAAAATTTCTGAGTCCCAACCTGGAAGACATAGCTTTTGCATCTCATAATTACACTAAGTATACTAATAAAATATATATGATTGTATATGTATGATGAAACTCAATATTTTAACATACTTATTCTAAAATCATATTACTTTAAGTAACTTACACTCTAATCACAACCTTCACAAAATAGTATACACAATCCTGACACTGAAGTTCAGGAATATTAAATTTAAAATGGTCTAACCCAAGATTGATTCAAAATTCTATCATGTAAGGAGAAATCTACTTGTATTATGTCCATCAAATAGTTGTAAAACTTTAAAAAACATTAAAATAAGAAACTGATCTTAAAGGAGTAACCACAGCTGAGGTAACAGAACTTTAAGTCTTGTCAGTTGTCACGTAAATTTTGAAAACTGTCTGTTCCTTAAAAATAAATGTTTTCAAACAAAGCTTTAAGCAATTATTTCAAAAGGTACCTACGAAGTTGATGGGGACAGTGTACATTGGGTTAAAATATTTTAGTAACATGATTTGCAGCGAGAATTACTGATAGGAGGTAGAAGCACAAAACGTTTTAGAGGGATTATTATAAATTGGTGAATCACAAAAACAGCTACCCAAACATCAGATTTATGGGATATTAAGACTCAAATTCTGATAAAAATCTGACAGAATCTTAAGAATAAAATTAAATGTGAAGGTGAAGAGAAATTCTAGACTTTAAAGAATTCCTATGACTTCAAGTGAAATGTCATTTACACCCTGTTTAGGTAGCATAGTTGGTTAAGTAGCTGAGTATGTCGTCCAGATAACAGCAGCAAACTCTACCAGTACCCATTCTTAACTTTTAATTAAAAAAAAAAAAGTAATTGGTTGAGATGACTGAAGAGTATTTAAAGAATAACATTATATTTTTATTTTTCAGTTTTTCCTGTTTTCCTTCTATTTTGGGTGATTCTCATAATTATAGTTCTATGAAGCCATGACTGTCAATGTAGTATTTACCTTTATCCCCGGAAGTCCAGGAAGCCCAGGAAGCCCTGGTTCGCCCTACACAGGAAAATCATATAGCATTATAGAACGATATTCACTCAGTCACAACATTTGGAGAAAAACATGGCAAATGTTCCTAGTGGAATACTTTCTGCATATATATATATATATACATATACATATATGTATATGTATATATGTATAGTCCAGTTTCTAGAACTCCGGTGAAATTATGCAGTTCAGTCAACTCTTGACCACTTTGTAGATTAGTCAGGTTTTTCCATCTTCCTCCTTAGTTCACTGCTCTTTAGCATCTTTACCAGAAGGTGAGAAAGAGGAGTAAAATGAGAAGGAATTCCTATAAGTATATATTATTACTCCTTTGGTAAAAGATTTGCTGGGGAGGCTGAAGCTATTTGCTGAAATGAGGGTATATGTGCATTTCAATAACGCATCCTATTCCAGTACCCCCTCACCTCAGATAATCAAGAGTTGGCTGTATGAACAGATGGTCACATCAAAAGAATATACATTAAAATCTTGCTCACTTCAAAGTATAGTAAGATTTCTTTTCCATTCCTGAAGAATGAGAAGATAAATGAATGGTTAAGAGTATCCTTAACCCCAGCCTATATTTCTGACAATTGTTTGAATCTGGGCAACCCTGCTTAGCAGCTTAGGGCTAATGGTACCACGCAGCTGTTCCCGAATACAGGTTTGAGATTAAGTGGTACATTTTGGGTGAGCACATTGGAGTCAAACTAAACCTTCTCATTTTCACAGACTTGTCCAAATTATTTTAAGCACAAAGTATAGTGACAAGAGGTTACATTGCTTAGAAAATCTCCTGAATTCCATTAAAGAAGTAGAAAAGAATTGCAGGACAAAATGAATTTCACTCTGTATTGGACAGATGTGACTAATAGTTGTGGAAATAACATTTGAAGGTATAACAGTGACACCAATTCATGATGGGTCAGTTGGTGGGTCAACTATGTTAAAAGAATCACCAAACTAACAATAAAGCTAGTAGAGGGAGGCATTTCTTTTAATGTAAATGCTTTAACAATGTTCATTCCACGGAAAATCTACTAAGAACAACCAGATAGTCCATATTTAAAATGTATTACTTCCAAATTATGAAGAGCCATACTTTGTTTTGATATAATCACAAAATTACTTTAGATATTGTTTGTTAAGCTGTATCATTAGACATACAAAGGACAATGACTTCTTGAAGGTTTTGGTCAATAGTACTTCAGGAATGTAAAAGAAAAACTATTTAGTCTAAAACTACAGAAATGAAAGTTTCCATTGTGAACAATAAGACTAAGATAAGATTAAATCAGAGAAGAAAAGATATACGCAACCATTCTGATTTTATTTGTGCTAATGCATGACTATTAAGAACTGCTTTGTTATTCCATTTAAATACCTGTCCAAGTAGATTAAACCTTACAAAGACACGACATAATATTTTTTATTTTTGTTTTCCTTTCCCCTTCCCCCTTCACCCAATAAATTTAAGAAGATCCTGTAGAAAGGGATTGTACTCATATTTTATAGAAGACTTCCTTTTGCTTTAAAAAACAGCATAAGGCCTTTGAAAACATATTAATTTGGAGGAGAATATACAATCAATAAAAGTAAACATGCTGATGACAAACCTAAAGTTTTTGTATCATTTTGAAAAGTTTCTCAAAGCTCAGAACATCCTATTAGAAACATATGTAGGAGTATTTATAGGGAGTAACACTGTTTTCCAGCCAGAGTCTTCACCACACCCTTCACTCCCATCAAACAAAAAAGGATACTATGATTATTTCAAGGAAAGATGTTTATACACATACTCATACATAGACACATGATCCATGTTTTCTAACGATGAGAAAGATGTATAAGATACTATAGAACATTTTATGGTGTAGATTGAATACACAGACTTTGCACATTTAGCAGTTTCCCTCATTTTGTGTGTTTGTGTGTGTGTAAGGTTATATATACACTTTTTAGTGAACATTTTAGGAATTCCTATTTTACAGTCTTAGATTTTTAGAAAATTTCCCCTTCCAAATTTAAGTTTAACTAGTGTATTAGCTGACATAATGGAAGATTATAAAATATTTACTCTCTCATAGTTCCTCTTGTGGAGCATCTCTTAAAATTTTTAGGAAGACATTTCTTCTTGTATAAATTCTCCTACTCTATGGCATGAAGGCTTATCTTCCAACTAAGACAGAGTTTTTTAGTAAACTTCTCCATTCTCAACCTATTCCTGGGCTCAAGAGCTTCCCTGAGTTGAGTTCTTGGTCGTGCACAGTCAGTAGGTCAGATCTGGGTCATAATTTGAAGGACGTCTCCATTGCAGGAGACCCTTGTCTGCCTTCAAAGTCAGGACTCTGCTTTCACTCCAGGTACCTGTTACTGTGGCCCTTTTCTACTAGAAATAGTTCAGCTGTGAGAGTTCCCTTTGATGAGAGATCAAGTAATTTTACCCTTTTAAAATGAAAATATCTATTTTAAAAATACGTGGGAGAAATTAAGAAGGAAAGAAAGGATTATGTGATGAAACACAACACCTATTGTATAAATCTACACACTCTACAGACACAAACACATTGACTCCCATATTAATCACACACTCTACTGTTGAGGCTATAAAAGAAAAAAAAACTATAATGAAATCATTCCTTTATTATGAATGTTACTTTAAATAGCAAACTTTCATACTGACAATGTTACATAGCAGAAAGCTAATCAATGGCTTTCTGTTCCATTATGATATTCTATACTTTTCTGGGAACATACCTAATGCATGAGCTTAAGTGCCAATGTAACCGCAGCACAGTTCTGCAATGGTGAGAAAAATACCAAAGAAGACTGAGCAAGCTCTTGAGTTGATTCTGTGTTCAGTTCAGTTTGTCATTTTTCTAATCTAAGCAAACAGCAATAGTGGAAATACTCTACTTTCAAATCAGCATTGCAAGAAGTATCCTCAAATCCAAGTATTAGACAAAGGAAGTCATAAATAATTTGGGAAAGTGCAATTGCATCAAAGGGTAGAATCTGGCCTAAATATTAAATGAAAAAGGTGCTGCTCATTATGGGGTGCCTATGCAGTCAACTGGGTTATACGCTTTTAATGAATTTACCCCCTTCTCTCAATACACTTTAAAACCAGTTCTTAATGAAATGCAAAAGAAATCTAATGTTTCCATGTGTAAACCTATGAACTCCCAGATTTAATGACTCTAAGCTATATTTATGAATAATCATGATAAGGCAACATTTTATTGAGCAATTAAACACTCTGAAAACACTAGCATCTATACAAGATTACAGCAGAGTTATCTTTTGTTTAAAATGACAGAACAGTTCTGCAGACATCTTTTTTTTAAGCAAATCATAGACTGAAGAGTAGTTTAATTTCAGGTTTTGATTCTTAAAATCTAAGAGATATAAAATTGGATCATCTGAGAAGAATATTTGCTTTTTCAAACAAAGCAGATCAGGGATCTCTGATCATATCACTAATTGTAAAGCATCAGTAGAACATTTTAGGAATTTAACAGTAAAAATCACAGAGTTCTTGCTGGGCTCTTTGGAAAAGTCTCAACTTTACCTGAAACTGGGCCTGATAAATTCTTTCTCATGGATTCTTAACTTCAAGACAAAAATCTGCTTTTGAATTAGAGAAACCTTAAAAGAATGTAAAGACCTTCTCAAAAGTTACTTGGTCCTAAGCACTTAAAACAAAACAATGGTACTCTCAACGACTTTAAGAACGCGGGAACATTGTTTGATTACATCTTAAGGCTCCAAACTTACGACAATGAGATTTATTCTCTTTTCCCCTTTCTGCTAACAAGGAGAATTCCATTTTTCTATTCATATTTCTTTCTATCACATCAGCAACTACTAGACAAAGGCAGAGTCATGAACTTAAGCGATTTACCCTAAAGTGGAATTCAGATTTACTTGTTAGCTACATCTGTGATCTAAAAGCTGACTGCACTGGGCATTGATATCCAGATGCTCAGACAATAAACTGCTAGCAGTTGTTTCCTGCCTCACACTCAAATGAGAATGTGCCTCTAACACATGCACTACATGTCCTCTAATTTACTGCTGATGCACAATGAAAAAAATAATTTTAATGTATCCACAGATGGGTTAGTTAAAATGGTTTGACTAGTATCTCTAATTTAGTGTATTAACAAATTTGGGCTGTGTAACGTCACATTCATTGCATGAATAGATATGATTCACATAAACACTTATCAGCAGGTAAGCATTTGAAATGAAAGGAAAACAAATATAATTTTTAATGAGTTATCCATCATTCTCTATTGAGAAAGTTTAGTCAATATTCATTTCTTCTCAACAAAGATAGAAACATGCATTATCTTTAAACATGCAAGGTAAGTTGTTGGCATTCCCAACCCCACTTATCTCTGTTAGTGCCAGACAGTTGAGAATATGCAGACTTTAGTTCATGAATCAAGCTTTTACACGTATAGAGTTTATTTTCACATTTTGCTATGGCCAGCATCAAGATATATTAAAATGCAAAACAATCAATAACTGTTTGTATGCAAAGCATGAAAACTGTACCATTTTGATATTACACTGTGGGTGGCAGATATAAAATGATTCATATGAGGCAGTACAAAGAAGACAGTAGAAATGGAGATATTACCTTTTGCCCTGGACGACCAGATTCTCCAGGTTCTCCCTGTCCCAAGACAATCAAAGATGAAAGTGACAGTCTTACAAGCATTTTTCAAAACCCTTAAGGCCTCTGAGAATTTTCACAGCTATGGTACAGCCTCCTTCTTGATCACATGCACTTCATTCACTTTATTCTGTTGCTCTACATCTCACTAGACATAGAAAAGATTTCTGCTGGGAGTATACCTCAAGTTCACATATAAATAATCTACATTTCCACAATAGCCAATCATAGGAAAGAGAAGGCAAGTTGTCTTAGTTAGGCCTTTGTCTGACAAAGATTTCCAACAGATACTCTCTGTTGTGTTTGGAAGCTGACTATGCAGGAGAATAGCAACAGAGTCAAAACCATGGGAGTTGGTAAAAGGAACGACAAAGTGGAAGCTTGTGAAAATAAAAACTATAACTCTTGGGTTACAAATACTTAGAAGGCCATAATTACCTTAATTCCTGCAGCAGATGATCCAGGGTCACCCTAAAATGAAACCCGCGTGGAAATTATTCCACAAGTTAGAAATATGGTGGGAACAGAAAACATCACAAACACACAGAGAACCATTATTGATACGGACAGTCAAAGGGGCCTCCAGGACTAAAGGGCTGAAATATGCTCCCTAAGCCTTTGCATCAATATGTCAGCTGTTAAGATGTCAACAATTTCCAAGATAAACAATGTACTTCCTAAAAACATGTGTTTCCTTTGAATGCAAAATATATCAGGACTACATTCTTTAAAATAAATATATACACAGGAATCTCTTCCCTTGATACAGTGCTAAAATGTATTCTAAAGCAATAACTTGGAACTTAAGGATGTGGAGCCTTCAGTTTTTCTCTATTTCTGTAATTTATTAATGTCACTGGCTGTCATTTACTGACAGTTCCCTGACCCTTCTGGTCTTCAGAAAGTCAAGGTTCAACAGATGAAGTCAAAGAGTTAATGGTGTCGAGTTGGAAAAGGCCACGCACCAGATCAGTTAGTTTTCTTCCTGAAGCACTGTCATAGTTACGACCACCACATTTCCTGCTTTACGCTATTTCATTGTAACGTGGTCACTGTGAAGTTATAGGATGATGAATGGCTTGTGGGTGATGGGGACACTTGTCAGCTCTCAGATAAAATCTGGAGATAGGATCTGGTTTTCAGGAAGGCACTGTATTCCACGCAGATTTCACAGAGAGTGACTACGTCTAAAGCAAATATAATTAAGCGTGTAGGGCTAATTGAGAAAAGAACACAGAGACTAGCTGAGAATACTGCTTCTATCTGAAATGAGGGCAGCAAAGGGCCTAGATTTTCAAGTTGCCTGTAGCTGTCTCTGTCACAGGAATATTCTAGATGGCAAAAGAAAGGGGGAAAAACTTCATCATTTGAGATTCTGTCAGGAAAACAGAAACATCCACAAGCAGAAAAGCACATATTCAGATTTCCTCAGCTGCCTCATCTGTGCAAGTCATCCTCAAGGAGCTGTTTCCAGGGGTCTATTTCCTTGTTCGAGACTCTGAAAGCTGCTCATAAATCTCTTTTAGAGACAGAGATAAAGCCTCAGGCCTTTGTACATGGAACATGTGTCCCCCTTCCCCAACTCCTTTCTCCTCTTCCCATGTCTGGCATCGTCTCTGTCTTCCAGTCTCAGGGTTACCTCAGAGAAGGCTTCACTGAGCAGCTAGGCGCATGCCCCCTCACACACACATCCTCCTGTGGAACAGCATGCTCTGTGCATGTTCTGCAGAGTTCATTTGATAATTAGGGATTTATGTTTTCTCCTTATCATTGCCTGTCTCTCCGTTACACAGTCACGTACATGTGAGCAGATTCGGTGTCTATTTTAATTCAGTACCTGGCCCATAGTATATGCTCAATACATATATGACGAATGAAGGAACAAATCTCAAAAAGAAATTTTTAAGCAGGTCAGCAGTCAAGTATGAAAATGACAAAAACTTTAAGAAGAAAAAAGAAGTTTAGGAAAAGAGAAGGAAATAGTAAATTAGCATATTGAGGACACTGATATATATGTCAATGTTTTTGACATCTTTTTTAAGGTGCCCTGGTGGCTCCATGGTTAAGTGTTCAGCTGCTAAACAAAAGGTCAACGGTTCGAACCCACCAGCCACTCCACAGGAGAAAGATGTGGCAGTCTGCTTCTGTAGAGATTACAGCCTAGGAAACCCTATGAGGCAGTTTTACTCTGTTTGTCCTACGGGGTCGCTATGAGTTGGAATCAACTTGACAGCAACAGGTTTGGTTTTTGGTTTTAACCACTATTACCTAAGTAAATATGAAAACGTAACTAAACATAAAAAAGAATCTCAAATCCTAATGTCTTACTGCAGAATGATACTGATTTCTCCTCCCAAATCTTCAACAGTCATTGAGTTACGAATGGGAAGTGAAATGAATGTGGCTAATAAAATAACACATTTCGATGTCCACTAAATCAAGTCTGAGAGCCATCAACACAAATGAATCAAGGTGGCAATATTTAACACAGTAAGACCTTTAAGGAGCCCTGGTGGCACAGTAGTTAAGTTTAGGCTACTAACCAAAAGGTCTGCAGTTTGAATCTACCAGCCACTCCTTGGAAACCCTATGGGGCAGTTCTACTCTGTCCTATAGGGTTACTATGAGTTGGAATCGACTCAAGGGCAATGGGTTTAAGATCTTTGTATTCGTATAAGCAATTTTCACTTTGCCAAGTCTTCTTTCATCTCAATTGTCCCTCACGAAACTGCGATGAGATAGGGCAAATATTAACATTTCCATTTAATAATGAGAAAACTGAAGCAATTAGACTGTAAGTGAATTTGGGGCTTCCTAATACTACTGCCATGTTATTTTATTGGAATTAGAAAAGAATTATTTCATTTCAATTTGACAACAGGGTGTAAAGATTGTCGGAAACCTGTAAATAAAAGCAAGTTGCTTGTATTAACTGTACTTAAATTTTTTTAAAGTGTTTTAATTCCAAATGACTAGATAATCCACTAATGAGAATAGGGACTATATTTAGTTCTCACAGAAAGTGGATGGAAAGAAAAGGACAGTTGTCTAAAAGGCTGATTTATGTGTGGCAATCTGCGCGGCTTCATTTTCATGGACAACAATGAGTGATATTTTCACTTTCTTTTTAAAAACTTAGAACTGTCAAATCCCAAGGAATTTTTATAACTTTTAAGTGGCAAGGCAACTGCTGGAAGACATTCACAAGTAAGACATTTTAAAGGATAATGCTGGAAGCAGTGGAAATAAAACAACAAGTGTTTATAATTCTCCTTCCTCCAAAAGTGAAAATGAATACAGGATTAAAGTAGCAAAAAAAAAACAAACAAAAATAAAAATGACTTAAGGATACTCTTAGCTTCATGAGTCAGTTGGTTTGGAAATAAAAGTTTCACCAGAATAAGTCATAGACGGGAAATACCGTGAGAAGATACCTGAGATACAGGAACTTGACTTTATCAATGCTTATTCAACCACAAAGAGTTTCTGTTTTTATTTGTAATTATTTTCAAACACAATACTTGGTAGACAATTACATGCATGTGTTATTAAAGCACATGAGGATATATGAAGTGCACGTAGTGACTTATTTCTATATTTACTGAGCACCAATTATGTCCCATGCATGCCCTGGATGCAGGGATGCTGGGAGCTGGGAAGACAACAGTGAACAAGCCCCGCCTTTAACCTGTACTTATGATAATCATTTACCATATATATGTATACAAAAATATTATTGATTGGAAGTCTAAAAGATACTTTCTTATTCTTTCGTTTCTTTTGAAATCTGGGATAGAAAGAGACTGTTCTATTTTGGGAAATTCTGTGTCCACCAAATTATGTTACAATTTTTTCATATGTAGCTAGTGAAGAGTGTATGTCATGAATGTCACATGTGAATTTATGTACGTGCACTTTCAAGTTCTAAAAAGTAAATATGTCACTTTGATGACCAAGGTATGCCTGATACAAGCTATGATCTTTTCAATCGCCTCGTATGTATGCAAAAGCTGGACAATGAAATAGGAAGACAGAAGAATTGATGCATTCAAATTTTGGTACTGGCAAACAATATTGAATACACCATGGACTGTGAGAAGAATGAATAAATCGGTCTTAAAAGAAATACAACCAGAATGGTCCTTAAAAGTGAGACGGTGAGATTTTGGCTCGCTTACTCTGGAGACGTCATCAGGCAAGACAAACACGAGAAAAAGATAACATGTTTGGCAGAGTGTCAATAAAAACAAGAGAAACCCTCAATGTGATAAGGAGTTTGGGGGAGAGGACCGGAAGGTAAGAGTGTTATAAGCTAAGGAAATAACATTTGCTAAGTTAGAGAATGTCCAACATTGACTGGGGTGGGAATACACTTCCGTTTTGATTTAAAGAAAAATAGATAATTGGGTTGGTGACTCCAAATATGGATATGGCTTGTGAAACGGTTCAGGGGATGCAAATCAAGGACGATCGAAGATACTATGTAAAATGTAAAGTAAGAAGGGTAGCCTATTTGTAGGAAAGTAGACTGGAGGAACAAAGACAATTACATACAGGTAACAGCAAGAAAGTGAAGGGCAGCTTCTCAATCAACTGATAAATTTGTGAGTAACAGACGGTGTGGTCAAACCATTCAGTGTGCTAGACAAACACCTACTTTCAAGTGGGGGAAAAAGATAAGAAATTCATATCTACATATTTCATATTGGAAGGACTAGCAATCCAAAGACTAGAGCACAAACCTTCAATAATAGCTCTACACACGATTAAAACCAGTCTTTGGCAGGCCATTCTTCAATCTAGAGTACACCATAGTTGCTGGCCACAGAGAAAACCCAGCCTGCAGGTTTTTATGGTTCCACAGCATTTCCAGATGACCAGTCTGGAAAGGTTTAGATTGCTTTACCATACAAAAGCACTGAGCTGGATCAAAAGGAAAAAAAAAAATCCTATTAAAGTGAATCCGTCAATGACGTAATTTACTCTATCAATGGCAGAAAAGAAGCATTTTTTTATTCTGCACCCCAAACTTGGTACATGACGAATGAGTTTCACATACTGAGCACAAAGGCCATGAGAAGAGTGTTTCCAACATGCTGGAAACAAATTATATGACAGAAGCAGGAAATGTTTAAAAAACACATCAAAAATTATATTCCAATTACAGCATTCTCAGGGATGAAGGCTACAGGTCAGATTACATCTCATACGTTACAGATTCCTATTTACAATCCCCTGTTTAGACTCCTTGAAAGTTTATAGAAATGATTTCCGTTTTAACTGAAGCATACCTTGTACTTAATTTCAGATGACTAATAAAACTTTTTGTTCAAAATGAGTAACAACCAATCTAGTTGATTTCAATTTCCATGTGGTAAAAAAAAAAGCTGACATTTATTGAGAGTTTACAATGTGTGAGTCAGTATGGTAAATGATTTGCATTAATATAAAGAAATAAGAACAGTATTCCTTTGAGATACACTTAGTCTTTTAAAAGAAAGAAGTTGCTTTACTACTGGAAAATTAAATTTTAAAAATGTCTGATTAAAGAAACAATTATTTGTCCTATGTTCCAAAAATGAAGCTTTAAAATACTTCTTCTAAAGCATAAAATTCTCTACATAAATTCATATAGACATAGCTCAAGCTTGACCCAAATTATTTTCACTATAAGAAAGTACTCTCTGTTTAGAAAATTTCCTTTCTTTAAGCAGAGGTTGGCAACTATGGCCCATGGGCCAAATCCACCTGCCACCTACTTTTGTATGGCCAATGGGCTAAGAATGGTTTTTATGTTTTTAAATGATTGAAAAAAATCAAAAGAATAAAAATATTTCATGACACGTGAAAATTACATTAAATAAAATTTTGTATCCATAAATAAAGTTTTATTGGAATACAGCCACATTCATTTGTTTATGTATTGTCTATGGATGCTTTCTCATGACAATGGCAGAGCTGAGTAGTTATAATAGACACCATATGGCCCACAAAACCTAAAATATTTATTTTCTAACTCTTTACAGAGAAAGTTTGCTGACCTCTGCTTTTAAACATAAATAAGCAAGTTAAATATAACATTCAGGTTTATATATCTGGAGTTTCAAATTTTGATTTCAAGAGTAGTTGGGGTAGATCGCTTCTGTCATGAGTATTAAACATTTTTATGCCATATTTGATTGCAGTATGATACTCTTGACAGAAAAGTAAAATGGGCCTACAGCAGTGGTTATCAAATGGGGGCAATTTTTCCCCCAATGGGGGATATTTGGCAATGTCTGGAGACATGTTTGACTGTCACAGCTTGTGGAGGGGGACTGCTACGGCATCTAGCAGACAGCAGCCTAGGGTGCTGATAAACACCCTACAGTGAAGACAGGCCTCCACAACAATGAATTATCCAGCCTGAAATGCCAATAATGCTGAGGTTGAGAAATCTAATCTGCAAAACACTGAGAGTCCAGTAGCCGCCTGGACTACTCCTTGAATATAAACACAATTGCTATTTAGTGACATTAATTCATTCTTACCACCCATGCCATGTTTATATTAATATTTATAAGAATGAGAAAGATAACTTTCTTTTTATTTTATGGACAGGCTTTATGAATAACCATTATCCATCTGTACGATAATAATTTCCAAAGCAGAATAGTCTCGTTCTCGTCTTTTTTCATCATTCAATTACTGAGCTTGATTTAATTTAAAATCCAGTTGACTATTATAGTTTCCGTTTCTTAAAAGATTTTCTTAGTTCCTAACACATAGGACGAGTGAAGTAATATATCCCCTTGTATCAGAGATGTGTGTAAAGTATGAATCCAAGCAAAAGGTAACTACAATGATTGACTAAGAAAAAAAGAGAGGAGGAAGGAATACAAGCCACAAGACTACTGCTTATGAATAACGCCAATAATTATGCTAATAAAAATGCTAATAATGGTTCAAAGAAATACAGAAAACACAGGCTGGCCAATATCCAGTCAATCACTGGATTTCAAGTTGAGGCAAATTGTCAAAGCAGCACTAAAGGCTCTAATCAAGTGACATTAATTTAGAATCAACCTTTCAAATCTCATCCCATCTCTGGCATGTTCTCTTCAGGAATCACTTCAGGAATTCTGTTTTCATATCCTTGGACATAAAGGTCATGTCCTCTTTGCCATGAATATGTGTTTTTGTTCCTTGAAAGCCTTACTACTGGTGACTTAGCTATGCATTTTTTATAATTTGTGACATACCATTTTCCTTTCAAAATATTTAAATTTGTAGTTAGAAGCTGGTGGAACAATCAAATATTTAAAATGTTTCCTAATCCTGGAGAATTGTCTCTGGCCTTGTCATATTAAGCTCCTCTCATTCACATCTCTCTCTTGAAACCTCTCATTTCCACATACATGTAATTATATTTCTTGCTCATTCACATAACATTTCATATTTCACAAAATTGTACCTTTTTGCCTGTGTCACCTTTGGGGCCATTTTCTCCAGCATCTCCCTGAAGAGGAAAAAAATGATACATAGAAAATACATTGGTGACATTAAACAAAGAGTATTTTTCCTGATTTTAAGTTTTCTCTCATGAACACTACACTTTTTTTTAAAACACTACTTAATAAAATTTCTTATAAATGTTCTACAGAGGTAATGTACTTTTACTTGACCAGCTGCTTGGTGTCAACTGATCCAAAGAGATTTTATTACAATGACATGGCCAAACAGTTTTAAACTCTTTCATAATATTAATACAAAGCATTGATTTTTATGTCTGCCTCCTAATAGCTTATTCTGGCACTTAAAGTCACCTTAACTGTATCTCTTTTCTCTTCTGCTCAGACCTCCACTTTAACAAAGACGTTCATTTGACCTCCCTCTGCATCCTTCCTTGTGCCATTCCTGCCACCTGGACCCTGGCCTCTTTTTTCCCTTCTATTCATATAAATCCTACCCTTTCTCCAAGCCCATCTTAAACATCCAGGGTCTTAAGAGGCATGATGTTGTGGTGGTTGTTGTTAGGGTGCTATCAAGTTGACTCCGACTCACGGCGATCCCATGTACAACAGAAGGAAACACACTGCCTGGTTCTGCGCCATCCTCACAATCGTTGCTACGTTTGAGCCTATTGTTGCCACCACTGTGTCAATCCATCTCACTGAGGGGCTCCCTCTTTTTCGCTGACCAAAATGCATGACACTATGCTCAAAATCTGTGACTGAATATTTATTTCTCTGAGCTTATACGTTTTGCATTTGTGAAATAAAAAGTTATTAGCAAACTTTATTTTTTAATCATAGCAAAATGGGGTTGGGAAGTTTATGTTTCCTTAGTTATTTTTTAAACTTCCTATGCCTATTTCCTCACTGAAGTCTCCTTTCTATACACAAAGCAATGATTAAAAAAAAAAAAAAGGCTTCCATAAATTCTGCATTCTTTAAGTCTTATTGTATGTTACAGTGGAAATGTCATGGGCTTTGACATCAGGGAGACCTGGGTCCTGAACCCAGCTCCAGCACCTACTGGGCAAATTAAATTCTCTGAGCATCAAGGGTAAAGCAACTAGGACAGTATCTGGCACATAATGAGCCCTTAAAAAATGGTAGCAGCCATTAGCGATAACAATGTATTACTGTTCCTGTATTCCATAGGCTGGGATGCCCTTCTCTCTAGCTTCCTAAGAGGTCACTTTTTCTATCGTATAAAAAAGTTCCTTAAGAGAGAAATTATTGATAATGATTTCCTTGGGAGAAGGCAGATGGGGAAGGGAGACTTGCACTTTTTTTCTCTCCGTTTTCATTTATTGTTTCAAATAAGCATGAAGTTAACCAGCTCAGGCGTTTGTCTCTGGTGATGGATATACCGCAGCAGTCCAGGCGGGCCTGAGACACTATCTGACGAATCCCGTGCTGGCACTGCTCCTTAATTTCTACACAAAAGACTCATCCGATGTCTAATTAATTTCAAGTTAACTACCATGAATTGGTTGCATGCCAAATAAATGTACTGGTAATCTGTTATGACAGATCTTTGATAGACAACCTATTAGCATACTTTTAAAAACTGCTTGAAAATCCCTTTATTAAAAAACAAAACCAATTTGTATTAGGAAAACTGGCTCAGAGTGGCTGTGAAGTGAAGGGTCCCCTCAAGAAATTACCTTTTCCACCCCTTCATTTTGTTCTCTTCTCATTTAAATAAATGTGTCTTTATTTCTTTGTTTTTGCTTTATAATGCTGAAAAATAGTTTGAACAGACAGAAGGCTGCTTGGTCTTTAGAAGAACTTCTTTTGGGATTAGCAGTTGCAATATCGATTTGTGCGAAAGATCGGATCACTTATGAATAGCATTATGTAGTATACTGGTGGTTTCCTACGAGACGCCACACTTCTCAAGCACTATTAAAGAAAATAGCATGAGAACTAGGAAAATAAGCACAACAGTATGCACTGGGAGTCCAAAAATAATCAGGACAGGCTCAAAAGTAGTATGGAAGAGGTTCTAAGAAAAATTTAACATGCAGAACCCTCCTTCTCCTTTTGTTTCCCTTTTTAGGTTTTATGGGAATTCTTTGTGGGGCAACTTTCGGTATATTTGCTATGGTAAACATCTGTATCCTTTTAACCTAGTGACATAAGAAGCAGTAGAGAGAGATGTGAATTCTTGGAAAAGGATTGGAATGGCATTAGTAAGTAGTTAGAACAGAAATTTTGCAGGCCTAGGGATTCTTGAAAGCTATTTAAAAGCCCAACATAGAATGTTTAAATTTGTTCCCTTTCTCTCCATTTCTTTAAGCCTTTGTACCAAAACCCTTGCCCATATATTTAAAGAAAACAGTTCAGTTTGGGGCAGGGGGAAAGAAAAATATACACAGAATCATTCTCACCTTTTCTCCTCGTTCTCCAGGCTCTCCCTGAGCAAATGAACAGAGATTGAATGACAAATTATAAAATGAATAGTTAAACAACATCAAAACAAAATCAGATATTAAACAGATGAGGTACATTATGGGTGAAACTTTCTATTTTGGAGATACATAGTTGCCGTAGGAAAACAAATGGTCCAAGATGAGTTTCCTGGAGAACTGGGTATGGATATCAGCATCAAATACACCAATCTTAATTCTTTGCTTTTAGAGGACTAAAGAAAGATGTTTTCAGATTATTATTCAAAAACCAAAAGGTACACTAAGAAGAACATTGACGTGGTGATTCAATGTCTTGAGCGAGTTCTGAAATAGTTTACTCCTTTTTTTTTATCGTGCTTTAGGTGAAAGTTTACAGAGCAAATTAGTTCCTCATTAAACAATTAATACAAAAACTGTTCTGTGGCATTGGTTGCCAACCCCTCCATGTGTCAGCACTCTCCCCTTCTCCACCCCCAGGGTTTCCTGTTTCCATTTGTCCAGTCTTCCTGTCCCTTCCTGTCTTTGCATCTTTGCTTTTGGGCTGGTGTGCCCATTTAGTCTCGTGTACATGATAGAACTATGACGCATGTTCCTCACGTGTGCTACTGTTTGCCCTATAGACCTGTCTAATTTTTGGCTGAAGGGTGACCCTCGGGAGTGACTTCAGCACTGAGCTAAAAGGATGTTCAGGGACCAGACTCTTGGGATTTCTCCAGTCTCTGTCATACCAGCAAGTCTGTTTTTCTTTTTCTTTTTTTGTGAATTTGAATTTTGTTCTACATTCTTCTCCTGCTCTGTCTGGGACGCTCTATTGTGATCCCTGTCAGAGTAGCTGGTGGTGGTAGCCAGGCACCATCTAGTTGTTCTGGACTCAGTCTGATGGAGGCTGTGGTAGTAGTGGTCCATTAGTCCTTTGGACTAATCTTTCCCTTGTATATTTGGTTTTCTTCATTCTCCTTTGCTCCAGCTGGGATGGGACCAATAGATGTATCTTTGACGGCTGCTCACAGGCTTTTAAGACCCAAGGCATTACTTGCCACAGTTGCATGTAGAACATTTTCTTTATAAACTCTGTCATGCCAATTGAGCTAGATGTCCCCTGAGACCATGATCCCCAGCCCTCAGCCTAGTAACTTGGCCCCTCAGGAAGTCTGGATGTGTCTGTGAAGCTTCTATGACTTTGCCTTGGTCAAGTTGTGCTGACTTCCCTAGTATTGTGTACTGTCTTACCCTTCACCAAAGTTACCACTTATCTACTGTCTAGTTTGATACTTTTTATTCTGCCCAAACTCAAAATCAATAAGGTGGACAAGCACATCCCTCCATAAAGCCTTTTATTCTAAGCGTCCCCTGGTGCATGAGTCATTTTAGGGGTTCAGAGTCCCAGTGTGATCCTCCAGTCTGCCATTCCCTAACATGATCATATATGCTCAGTCCTGAATTGGACCTTTTCCAATGTCAGGGATTTTCTTTAGCCTGCTGGTATCTAGCGTATTCCAGTTCAGGTACATTTTAGGAGGCACTGGTATCTTCAAGTAAGGCACTAGACTGGGACAGACTCTAAGTAAGTTTAGGAGAGATGTCCTTACTCAAAATGATGCCACGATGGCATGAGGACTAAAATCCAAAATTGTGTTTTGAAGAGAATCTCATTATCACCTTCCCGAGTAAAGTAAACCCTACACGTTATAATAGCATTTCGCTTATGAAAAGCTTGACTAAGTGTTGCCATGAGACTGGACTACTTTTCACTATGTTGTTTTTAATTATAAGCCACTCAAGGCGTCAGTTTGGAGGCAAATCTCTTTTCATTCCCTGAAGCTCAACCTGACCCTTTGGCTTTCTGAACTTCTGGCCACCTTCACTGCTCAACATCCCTCCTATTGGTCGCCAGGCAACACAAGAACAGCATTGTGAACATGCATTAAACATTAATGCCTATCATTTGACTTTTTAGCATGCAGCAAGAAAGGGAAGACGACAGGAAAAATGGCTGTAGTCCCAGAAGGAATATTTTCTTTCCCCTCCTGCAGGAAAAAAGACAGGTCTATAAATTTTAGGTCTGTCCTAGGTTCCTGTCAATAGCAATGTGATCTGTAAAATCAGCTGACAGGCACTTGTGGGTACAGATACACTCCAGCACAGCTGATGGGATTAGACATTAGTTTTGTACTTCAAGGGATGTTCACTCATCAAAGGATTTGCGACTTGTCTGCCTGTTTGGTTTAAACTAAACTGTCACCAATCTTTTCATATTTAACAGATTCATTTGTTCTTTGAGAAACAAAGAAAATGTGCAATTCAAAAAAAATCCTCATTACATTTTTCCCTACTTAGTAATTCAGACTACGTCCATTTTTAAATTTTAAACGTGCTACATCTTTATTCTGCTCTTCATATTTGTTGTGTAAACGTTAGAAGTAGCCAAATATTTAGGAAAAGCCACAGTGGCACTGTGAACATCATCTTTGGTGAATATTCTAAGTATTATGCAATTTCAGGTATTATGGACATGGCTTATGTCTTTATACATCTATTAATAAGTAGTGAAATGACAATAGTCATACTTGAAACAAGAGCTTTCTTTTGTTTTTAAGTATCCCAGAATAAAGATTTTAGACAATCCTATTCTATTTGAGTCTTTTCATTTTTCATGCTAATAAGAATCAAAACATAATTTATTCATTAGTCACAAAATTTTGGACTGTAGCATATTACAGTATTCACACACACAAAAAAGTACATCCAAGTATGACCAGTAGGATATAAAAAATTGTAACAGCTTACAATTTCATGGAAATTCACGTCTCAAATGACTCTGCTTGGTTTTATTTGAACTAACCTTCGATCCTGGTATTCCGCTCTGTCCTACTGCTCCAGGTAAGCCGGGTTCACCCTCAAAATGAAAAATAGATACTACTAAATAAAATAGCCAAAATTAATATATACATCATTTGAGGAAATAACCATCTAATAACGCTCTAGAAGTAGCTAGAAAATAAGTAATAGTGTAAATACAAGTTAGTTAATACAGTCCAAAATTCTATGGCTATGTACCAGTGATAAAACAGAATTATTTTCTTCTGTTAAGTCTTTTATCCATTAAGAAAGCTGAAGCAACTTAACCAATGGAAATTAATATCTAGCATGGTGCTGGATGCATTGAAGCATAAAATAAATATTTGTTCAATGAGTAAAAAACTGAAAATATAAGGCTCTCTTGATGGAAAACTTTTACAATTCATGAGTTCAGGAAAATAAAGACTAAATCATTAGTTTTTATATTAGACTTAATTAAATGAACATCCCCCAATCTAAATTTTGAAGAACATACACATCTTTGAACAAGTAATTTATTCATTTAGACATATTTGATACAAAACTAAAAAGTGAAAATGATATTGACTTCTTTTTCCAATTTTGTTGCAAAAATAATTAAAATCAAGCATTTAGATTTGTGGCTCTCGTGGCTTTTGGGGAAAAGATAATACCTATTAGACTAGAAAAATTTCCCAATTCAGGAAGATGATCACGTGTCTTTCTAGACACTGAAGAGCCCCCTGAAGTGCCCAGAAGCAAAGGGAAGATACCCTGGCCATCCATGCTTCCATGTGGCTCAAACTTCTGTCAACTAGAATTTTATTTTCATTTAAAAATATATGCCCAATCCTGAACAACCTTCTTCTTTATGTTGAGGGTAGTAAATTTGCTCCTTTGATTGATTTTTAAAGAATGATTTCCAAATCTAAAATGTAGCACTTGGAGGGCAGAGATTGTGCCTTTCTTACATTTGAGTTCTCAGGTTCAAAATATGAACATTGATAATAATAGTAGCATCTCCTGAGTGCTTATTACCTGCCAGGAACTTTACACTCATGAATTCACTTGATTCTCACAAAGTACTATGACTTAAGTACTATTATTATCCCCATTTTACAGATGAAGAAACTAAGACCCGGAAAGGCTAAGTAACTTGCCTAGAGTTACACAACTGTAGCCAATAGTTAAACTCTCATGATCAGCTTAAGTGGTTGTGCCCTTGACCCTATGCTAAGTTGCTAAATGAGTGAATGAATCAAGAAGTTGTCATAAACTTAGGAAGAGAGTAAATGATAAATATTTCTATCCTCATTATCATTTGGTTTATACTTATTTGTAAATGACCTTCCAGAATGTTTAGAACCTTGAATTAATATATAAAGATAGGAGCCCTGGTGGTGCAGTGGTTAAGTGCTTTGCTGCTAACCAAAAGGTCAGTGCTTTGAATCCACCAGCCACTCCTTGGAAACCCTAGGGGCAGTTCTACTCTGTCCTTTAGGGTCACTGTGAGTCGGAATCCACTCGACAGTAATGGGTTTGGTTTTTTGGTTTTAGTCATATAAAGACGATTAATGTACATCTACCAGATAAACTAAGCAATGTGATGTTTTTGTTTTTCTAGAAGAGGAAAAGTGTTTTGCTATTATACTAGATTTTTATAACTGCTAAAGGCTTAACCTCCTAGGAGAATTTTTCCATCTTATATAAAGTCATGCTGTAATTCTAACTCTGGCACATTCCTCGGTGAAAATGGCAAAAAAAATATATTTTTTTTGAGAGTAACAGTGGCCATTATGGAAAAATTTTGATACGCCATTTGTACATAACAAAGGGAACAGGAACTTGGAAACAGACTATCCCTTGAAAGAGGACTATCATTTACTACGCAACCAGAAAAAAGAGCTTCGAGTCTGCCTTCTTCAAAGAGTCCACAACAGGATGCACTAATATCATAACTCATAGTTTAATGCAAACAAGAGATGCTGCCAGGGAACAATACAAACTTTGTTTGGAGTTTCAAGGAATAACCATGGTAGCCAGAGTTATTAAAAAAAAAAAAAAAATGGTAAGCCCCTGGAATTGGAGAAACTACATGCTGAGATTTTGAAGCAAGGCAGAGAAATGCTGCTTAGGTAGCTGCATAGCCTTCTCCTTAATACATGAACATCAAGGGACTACCACTGGATCCTTTTTTTTCTTTGATTTTATGTATTGTTAAAATAATCGTGTAACATAAAAGGAAACAAAAAAAAAATTACATTTGTAATCCCATCGGTCTACAATAATTGTTTTCATTTTGTTCTGTTTCCTTCTAGTCTTTTTGCATATGTTCAAATAATTTTAAGCAATTGTAAGCCTATTAGTTTGCTGTTTTGAATTTTTATTATCTTTATGCCACACATTCTTCATGGCTGCCTTGTGAATAATGTCACTACCATCTATCAAAATCATGTGTACTCATTTGTTTAATCAGTCCCCCATTGTTGGGTACTCAGGTTGTTTCCCATTTTTTCTATTAAAGATGGACTAAAATAACCTCTGTGAATATGCTCATATGTTTTCTGACGAATTTTTTCATTATGATAAATTTCCTGGATGTGTTTTATTAGTTGTTATGGATTGAACTGTGTCCCCCAAAACATGTGTCAACTTGGCTAGGCCATGATGCCCAGTATTGTGTGACTGTCCACCATTTTGTGATCTCATGTGATTTTCCTATGTGTTGTAAATCCTATCTCTATGATGTTAATGAGGCAGGATTAGAAGCAGTTACGTTAACGAAGCAGGACACAATCTATAGGATTAGGCTGTATCTTCAGTCAATCTCTTTTGAGATATACAAGAGAGAATTGAGCAGAGAGGAGAGGGACCTCATTACCACCAAGAAAGAAGGGCCAGGAGCAGAGCGCATCCTTTGGACCCAGGGTCCTTACACTAAGAAGCTCCTAGACCAGGGGAAGATTGATGACAAGAACCTTCCCCCAGAGCTGATAGAGAAAGAAAGCCTTCGCCTGGAGCTGGCACCCTGAATTTGGATGTCTAGTCTCCTGGACTGTGAGAGAATAAATTTGTTTGTTAAAGCCATCCACTTGTGGTATTTCTGTTACAGCAGCACTGGATAACTAAGACATTAGTCAACTGAAACATTTTATGGCACTGATATTTTAAGTTACTTTCCAAAAGGTTTCTGAGGGTTTTATTTGCTTTTGTAGCCACTGCTGTTGTTGCGGAGCCTTGGTGGCACAGTGGTTAAGAGCTACGGCTGCTAACCAAAAGGCTGGCAGTTTGAATCCACCAGTTGCTCTTTGGAAACCCTATGGGGCAGGTCTACTCTGTCCTATAGGGTAGCTATGAATCAGAATCGACTAGAGGCAAGAGGTTTTTTTTTTGTTGTTGTTGGCTGTTGTTGCATGTTAATCCCATGCATAATGCAATGAAATGTTGCCTGGTCTTGTGCCATCCACATGATCAGTTGCAGATTAGACTAGTGTGATCAGTAAGATTTTCACTGGCTGACTTTTGGAAGTAAATTGCCAGGTTTTTCTTCCTAATCTGTCTTAGTCTGGAAGCTTCACTGAAACCTGTTAAGCATCATAGCAACGTGCAAGGCTCCACTGACAGACAGGTTGTGGCCGCACGTGAGGTGCACTGGCTAGAAACTGAACTTGGGTCTCCGGCATGGAAGACGAGAACTCTACCACTGAACCACCAGTGCCCATTAGCTCTATGTTATTTTGTCACAACCTCATCAGCATTGCGTATCACATAATAATTATTTTTCGTTGCTATTTTAATAAGCACAATTGAGAGTTTACTATTCAATTTTACATTTCTTTTATCACTTACAAGGCTTCTCACAAAGTTGAAAAGTGAATAAAGCTAATTGTTTCCTGGATGAATTAAGGAAGAACGAAAAGAAGGAAAAAATGACCGACTCGTCGCACTTTATCTTGTTAATAAGTTATATCCATAAAAACATATCTATGATCCCATTTACACAAAATATCCAGAATAGCTAAACCCATAGCAATAGAAAGCAGATTGGTGGTTGCCAGGAGCGGGAGAAAAGGCAATGGGGAGTAAGAGTTTAATGAGAGTTTATTTTAGAGTGATGAAAACGTTTTAGAACCACACAGGCAGTGGTTCCACATCACTGTGAATGGATTAAATATCACAGAAATGTTCGCCTTAAAACAATTAATTTTACGTTATGTGAATCTCACCTCAATTTAAAAATAAAAAGATAAATATATTCAAACTTAGGTGAGAGGTCTATGGAGCACTCTGTTATTGTCCAAAATTAGTTTCCCAGGTTGTGTAAAAGTAATGTAGGGATGAAATGCTGTGCCATTCTGAGCATCAAAGTCAAACTACAGGATTCTGGAAAGCATTAATTCCTTTAACAATTGTTTAGTGAATATTTACTACCTGTCCTAGTCTGCACTGAGTACTTCATGGGATGTGAAGGTGAAATAGACATGATAGCCTTTTGTGCCCAAAGAACTTATTCTTGAAAGGGAAAAAAGATATGTACATAAATAACTTACGAAGACACACGTCTTATTTCAACACAGTTTTCTTGCACTTCCTCAATAGGCATAATAAAGAGATATCAAAGGGAGGTCTGAATGAGGAACAAGTTATATTGTCATGGAATATACTCTTCAGAGAAACAAGGACAAAATATTATCATCATGAGGCATTCTCAAATGAAGTTACCATGATTTTATATTACTACATAACAGTAAAAATGTACACACACAGAACAATGTATCAATGAGGTACAGAAAAAAATACGGGAGTTAGGTTTTTTGTTTTTGTTGTGGTGATGATCGAACTAGTCTTATGCTTGTCGGACAATCTACGCATCTATTCTCATAGCATTTCATATTCACAAATACTGAGGACATTCCATGGATGGTAACAAAGCAAAATAGCAGCTAACATCTTAACTGCAGTTAGATTGATGGGGTTTCCTCTCCCATACTTTAAATCCAATGGCTACTCCTAGTGTATTACTCCCAAATGACCATTTTTATATTTAAGCTGAAAATAAGTGGGACTGACTTTTAAGAA